ATTTTTGAAATTTTACATTCTTAAAACTCTTGTATTACCGAGTAATACGAAATAATACGAAATGGTTTTTGTTGGATTATCGGCACTAAATGAGCAATTTCAACCGACAAAAAAATGTTTCTGAAAACAACTTTGTTCGCTAATAGTTTTCATTAGTCTCGCGGTTACACTGTTAACCGTGAAAATGATTAAACCACTTTAAATTGAAACCCGGTATCTCAGCCATTAACACACGACAACGGAGTTGAGATAAGTGTTGTTTTCTTAAAATGCCGAGACAATTATTGTTTTCTAAAAATGTGTTTTGATTGTTTTGTACAACTGCAAACACCCAGATACAGTATAAGTTTCATTGCAGTATAAGCGACGATATTTTTGTCATATAAAATCGCGGAATAGTGAACTTTTGTACACATTATTGTAATCTTCTAAAAGGTGGACTGGCAGGTTGCCCGCGAGGACGTGAAAGTTACTCGGTAGGTAAGTGTTATCCCAGTTGTTTACTTAATCGAGTGTAGTATGTTTATACAGAAAGCGAGTGAACCGTACACGTACGATAGAAATTGTTTCAGAAAATTACATTTTATAATCCTCGGGTATTTAAAAAATTATCGTTAAATGTAGGTGTATATTATGTACCATATATATAATTTTTTTTTTTTCATTAAAAGTTTACATATTTCGCTGAGTAAAATATCCGTACACGGGTATAAGTATGTATAGAGATATGCATTAATATTATAATATCAAACTTGCGGAGAACGCGGTGAACCAATTTGAAATTTTCTGCACAGACTAAAAACTGATAATGTCACGACATGAATCGCCACCGCCAACACTCGCTTTTTCGTCTTTTATTCCTTAAAATATTATAATTTTATTCACCCGCAGATCAATCAATTTGTTATTCGCTAGCGAGGTTTGTATTACTATGATGGCGTTGCCGTTAACTGCATTACATCGTTAGAATTTTGTCTAAATAATAAGATATTTATCGTCGAAAAGAGTTGCCGTTAAACGATAACTTTTAGAATTCACTGAGCGTAGAACGTGTATGTTGGATTTACTATGATGTGAGAATTTTTTGTTTATATGTACGTCAACAACTAAATTTTCTACCAAAAATCGTACTTCAATCATCGATACCAACAGTGGTTTCTGGTAGCGAACTTCGACTAGTTGGTACGTCGGAGCACTTTTTTTTCGTGGTTTTTCAATTTTTCTTTTAGTTTTCTTGAAAATAATAACATTTTTCGAATAATTGTTTCTATTAATTTTTTTTTTTTTTGTGATTCGGATGAAAATAATCGTAGGTGTCTAACATATTCACTGAATACATTATATCAAATCCATTCTAACCTCAGCAAAATTTTAAAAGTTTGTTGGAAAGTTTTAGGCTATTTGTAAGGTTGATTAGGTTAGGTAGCCATTTTAAATTGTCGAGTATCTTTTTTAGCTATATTTGGTTTTATGTGGATAAAACTGTAGTAGGTAGAAAAAATGCTGGAAAAATGAACATGATGCTATTTAATTAGTATTTACCTTAAACCCGGGTTGAACAAAATAAATTGTTTCGCAAATCATTTTAGTTGTTATTTTTCTAGAATCGTTTTTATTTTGTTCCAGTATAGCTTTAGAAAGGATTTTCTACCAAAACGCGATACGGATAATTATAATAAAAACTCAAAGTATATACGTGTGTGTAATATATTGTATAAAACAAACAGAAAAAAAAAATACTCGTACGTTTTTTATACGATTTTTATATAGTATAAATATTGGTTTATCAAATATGTGTACGTTACTGTCGCGTAAAATGAAAATAATTTCGTAGCAAATTTCCTCGGTTCCGCCTCGGCCGTTTCATTGTTTCACTTTTAAACTTTATTCGACATTTAAGCGGGGCGCATATTATTAGACAGTTCCGCGTCTCGATCGTAACCATTTTATGCGACATTTTTATCATCTAAAATATTATGTGGGTATAATGAAACATTTGATCGGGAAACGTTTTCATTATTAAGAGTATTTACGATTTCTCATTTGTCCTGAATGTCGTAGATTTTTTTTGTTTTTTTTTTTTTACTATGTATTATATCAAACCTAATACGTTATCGTAGTTATTGGGCTACACACTTTTTAGATTCAAATCACCATGATATTATATCGTTAGGTGTCTGGGTGGGGTGTAGTCAACTTGGAATAGAACACTGAGTTCAGTTCTCATATTGAATTTAACCTCGTAAACAACACGATGATAATTTATACGTAAGGACCAAGAGGTATCACGCTCATATTGACCGGAATTTTCATTACTCGGCGGTGTATACAATATAGTGCAAGGTGTATTTTTTGTTTCATTAACGTGAGATTATCTATCATACAGATGTCGAGTAAATTCGATTTTGGTTTTCGGAATAGAAAACATAATATAGTAGTAAATTTCGTATCCAAGCGATTATTCTTTTCTATTAGTCCGGATTAAATTTTAAAAATAAAATTTAAAATCGATATGTGTGGGTTTTCAAGCAATTTATGGAATAAGGATGGCACTTTTAAAATGTGGTTTAAATATATTATTAAGTTCATTATGTTATTGTTTAATGCCCGGAAAAAAAATCAAGGGTCATACGAGAAGAGCCTACTGGGAAATTGCCGGTATCCTGGAGGGCCAGTACACACCTGGGATCGTATTATAATACCAATTTAATCCTTAATGTTATCACATGCGTTAAATACAAATGACGGTATTAATTTGAATTAAATTAAAATTACGACGTGAAATAGATAAATTTTTAGACCAAACGAAAATGTTAGACAATTTAACAAGAGATTCATTATAAATCGTACTTTGTGGTAAAAAAAAAATTAATGAGTTTAATGTAGTAGATATTTTTTTTTTTATTATAAACATTTTATTATCAAATTTTGATGAAATTCGTACATTTTACAAAAAAACATAATTAACCGAACTCCGCTCAGAATCGTTTTCCATCAGCAATAGATAATCGTTGCGTACAAATATACAATAAATTTCCTCTCTATCTTCTCAGCTTTTCACTTACAACAATGACTTTCCCACCATGCGAAATATATATATATCCATATATATATATTTTTTTTGTAACTTCTGTTTCAAACGAATATTTCAATTAATTTGAAACGACTTGTATCACAAACCACATGTAACACTGATACCTATTAGTATTTTACGAAACAACCACACCGATATTATTCTATACCAATATCACAATATTACTATATATCAATGACGATAAAACCACATCACTTTAGAGTTTAGACCTGTAGCTCATAGTTATGTTTGATGAAATTGAAATTACATTCGGTCCGTGACATTTAGATCTTGGTATAGCAAAAAAAAAAAAAAAAAAAAAAAAAAATACTTACGGTATTCATGACAACTTAGATTCTGTGCTCAAAAAATGTTTTACCAGTAAAAAAGAATGTACATTTATATCAAATAAATAATATTGCGAGTAACTTCAATATTTTTTCGTGACCGTAACACTTCAACAATCATGTATTGCTCTAATCTGAAGTAAAACAATTTTTTCGATTTTGTCAGAAAAAATGTTCTTATTTTATATTGTTTTAGAATATTGTGTGATAAGAAATGGATATTGGACAAAGTAATATTATCTGAACATGTTTTTCTGTAGTATAGGTTTATGAAATTGTTGGGAAAAAAATCTCGTACACATAAATCCACTCTCGTTCAATAAAACTGTTAACCCGCTCATATTTATCACGGGTCATTAACTGCCTATACCCACTTTATTTTCGATTTTTTTTTTTTTTAATCGTATTGTTTGAAAATTCCTACATGGGAGAAACGAAAAGACGGTCGTCTGATGTGTGCCATATAACATATTGATTAAGTAATTTACTTTGGGACGTTTGAATAAAAAACTGTTTCATTACGACTTCATACTGTTATTTTTCACGTTGTTTACGAAGTTATAATCCAGAATCGAAAACAACTCGCCCGGGTTCCAAAATAACGGTAGCGTTCGACTTGATCCCAAAAGATATGTCCCAGTCCCCTAAGACCGTTATTTCGTAATCGTCATAAAAGTATAGAGACTTTTGTAAAATCCTTCTGGAGATTTAAAATACTGCAGGATCATTTGAGGGTGAATTTTATATTATCAGATACAAATATGCGATAAAATACGACGGATAAATTATTAATAAGTATGTTAAGTCAGTAGTAGTAGGAGCAGTGTGTTCCGACGTTTTTGACTTAGATTTATGATTTTTTAGCACAGTAGTGGATTAAATATTAAGCAACAGGATGTTTCATTTGTGATTTTCTCCTGTTTATAAGATTAATATATAATTTTTAATTAGATTTTTACCTTGATATACTTTATATATATTTAGTATAATAATATAAGTAGTTTTCCGTGTAACGTTATAAAATAAAAAAAAAAATTGCACTGTTTCGATAAAATGATAATTAGGTTATGTTTCACTCGGCGTACACTCTATACAATATTATATAGATCTAAGATAAATATGTGTAAAACGAAAAAAATAAAATGACGTATCGCGTACGAAACGATGTTTTATAATTATTGTTCTTAAAAATAATCGAACGATAAACTTACTAGTACAGAAATAATATCAACGTAATTAAATCAAAATCGAACGACACAGTAGTGTTTTATAAAATACATTTTTTTTTTTTTTTTTATTAATTGATCGTAATATTACATTCAAATATCGATAGTGGCATTATACTTATTATTATCATCAAAATGCACACGTTACACGCATGTTCTTTTGGTCCACAAATAAATCACAGGTCAGCACGCGGATGACAAATACGATTAGGTAATGTCATCTCCTCGGTTTTCGAAACGGAACGCAAAGGGTAATAGTTTTACCTAATCCTATCCGCTTGGTCGGAGCAGTTAATTGGCTATTGATAGTACAATAGCCGACCTTTTGGACCGGTTCGTTCGCCTGATAATACGAGGTATAAAGGTAAATAATCTATCAGAGAGATTAAACGAACTGCATTTGTTACATAATTAAACAAAATGCAACAACGATAGAACTTATTACAAGCACAGTTGATGAATTCTAATATAATTTAAATGCGCTCGACTCGAGTAATCATCATCTTCTAGGGCGGTAATATCAGGTGAAGCGAAATACGAATGGTGTGTAGTGTTTGATAATTTGAAAACAATATTAGAACACACAACGATGTTATTAACGCCCAAATTTGCTCGAAACTTGACTATGATGAATAATATTGAATAATGATAATAAAATAAAATCTTTTATTTTTCTCTAAACAACGACGTGGGCGATGCTTATAGAAACGTTAAATGTCGAAATTCACATTAAACCGTGACCCAGTGACTTTTGTTGATAATAAAATAGTACTTATTTATTATCATAATATAACTACTAACAAGGGTGGTATTTTAAAAACACGTTAACTGCGTACCGTAAAATAACTCTTTGTCGGCGAACGAAAAATGTCAACCCTTAGTCCTTACCTGACTTAATTCAGGTTGGATCCAAAAGGGAGCGTACTAAAGGCATGTGCCACCGCTGTTACCAAAAAAGCACTTTATTTTCTAAGTGTTTTTTTTTTCTTTTATGTAATTTATCATATTATATTTATATAAATAGGTACTTGTAATATTACCAATGCTTGATATAAAGATAAAATTAAAATACTTATACATAAAGAAATGTTATATAAACGACATTTTTAGTTAATAATAACAGTGATATCATAAAATAAAATTAGGAATAAATGTAATTTGGTACTATTTTAAAGTTGAAATTATACACGAGGAAAATACAAAAAAATATCTGATACTGGGGCCACTGTTGTAGGTGAAAAGTTCGGAAAGTTGGATACATAAGGTTATTTCATTTATATTTGTAAGCAACGATAAATCATTGCTTGATGAAATACGATTCCGAGCGCAGTTCGGTAATACATAAATTGAACTGCCGTTTTTTTTTTTTTAACGATTTTCATTCAAATTTAATTTCAAAACGCTCATTAAAAAAAAAAAAAAATTCGTTCGATAGTTCTGAACATTTTACCACGTGTAAATGAGTCCAATATAAGTATTATTACAAAGTTGCAAGTCTCTATGTGTATTTATAACCGAATTACAGTAAAAAAACTTCCTAAAATTAACATTTTTAAATACTCAAAAGTGGCTGAAAAGTTGTAACAATGGTACCGTAAGAAATTAAATCAAAAAGGCAATAAAAACGGTATCTCGTGATTTTTCGATTGTATCATTTTTCTTGGTAGAAAACGTCGTCCGTGTTTTTATAAAATAGTGAAATTGTGAAATTTTACGTTTTCTTATGTTTTTTTCCCACGTAAGTGCTTTTGTTTGAAAAATGGCGTCAAAAATTAAAAAAGTACCATCTAGACGACTTGAGTTTTCAGAAAAGGTGCTATAGGTAAAAACGTGTCCACAGACTAGAAGAAGAAGAAAAAAAGTAAACATCCTAGTAAAACCCTCCCTACGTTTGGAATCTACAAATGGAGCTGATACTGAGGACGGGTACAGCCACCACTGTTGTAGGTGGGAAGTTGGGAAGGTTGGTAACATACTCGTGAATTTATTTAATTTATATTTGTATGCAATAATAGACTATTGCTAACGAAAGACGGTTCGGAGTGAAATTCGATAAGACATATTTTAAAGTGCTGTCATTTTCACGATTTCTGTCAAAGTTTAATTTTAAAACGATTATAAAAAAAAAAAAAAAAAAACAATGTATTAAACTTAAATTTGGTTTTGTAGACCACTAAGTACAACTTATAATATACCATGTGTTAAATTTCCAAGCATTTCTCTTAAGTCATATAATTTTTTTTAATAACAGATATCTACCAAATAAAAATTACGTAAAATCTCACAAAATTAAAATGTCTATAGCTCAAAAAGCTTTAAATGATTCAAATATTTTGAAAATTTCACCACTTCTACAAAAACTTGATAGAATTACAAATCTCTACTAAAATGTTTAACCGAATAACAACCTAAAACCCAAATACCGTATACTTTTCCGTATTTCCTAAGTATTTACACAATTCACTATAGAGTGCAATAGTGTCTATTCGGGAAAATTTGACAAAAATAATATTATTACTAATCATACAGTTAGATATACAGAAAAAAAAAACGCTTTCATTTTTACAGCTGCGTTATTTGTGGAACATAATTTTTTTCGCCGATCATTACGTTTAATTTTTGATATATGGACACTAAATTAGTACTGTACTCAATACCTAGAATGGGTATATTATTTCGAAACCTCGTTATAACGGTATAAAATTGAACATTTCCACTAAACACACTGTGTGATCATTGCCTGTTTTGATAAACATTTGCACCTGCAGCTAGTGAATGATTGTTTCCGAATATCTTATAAAATGCGCGGTTGGGCCTACTAAAATAATACAATTTCTGACATAAACATAGTACTATGCCGACGAGATTGGAATTAATTATTCGGATTTGGCAAATAATACACCGCACATGTACACGAAAACGAAAACAAATAAAACCTTTGTAATAATATTGTTTTAATGCACGAAAAATGATTATTTTTTATACGGTGCGTTAAATTTGATGATTCATGGGATGCACACCCTTGTTCTCCTCGTTTCTACCGAAATTCACCTACGTACATCGTACATTTAAGCATAGATACTTGTACTACACTGCATGCAGGGTATGTTTTAAACATCTGGAGTTCTGCAGATTATTGACTGCCGTATTAAACATACGCCATGTAGTACGTAAGTAATATGTATATAATGATTTGAATAGTTAGGTAAATACAAGTAGGTTACTTAGGTAGATAGGTAAAGTAATAAGGTAAACAAAGTATTTTTTCCTTATTTCCAAGAAAACAAAATACTTCTGAAATAATAAATGAAAAATAACTACAATGCGTGGTTTTCTATAATAATAATAAAAAAAAAAAACTAAAAGTCTATTATACTGACAGAATAGTGTCCGGTTGACTTCGTGATGTTGCGATAACAGTTAAGTATAAAATGTTATCAGCTGATGGCAGTGGTGTGGCTGATGGGGTGAACTAAGATGACTATAGCCTTCCATAGATATGACAATGTATATATTTTATGTTTTTTTTAAAGTTGTTTTATTAAAATGTTCAAAATGAAAGACGAAATGAAAAAAAAATTAATTTAAAAAATAAAATAAAAAAATTAATTTCGATACATTATACTGTGGTACATTGACAATATGGACTGCTGCAGTCTTTACGCGAACGGTAGTATCCAATATTCTTGTTCATATTATACAAGTAGTTTTTCAATGACACGGCGGCGCAACACGCGATACAATATTTCGCTGAAATGTTTTTTTTTCCTATGTAACATATTATCTAAAAAATACTGGCATGTCGTATTTCCTCCCCCCCCTATCCCGAAGTTTATTTAAATCCAAAAAATTTAGATTTCAATTCGATTGAGCTTATGAATATAACATAAGATAGTTTGATAGTTTTAAAACCCCATTATTTTACTTTTTCTCGATATTTCATTTGAATTTATTAAAGTTTCAAGTCGTAGGTACACAATTATACAAATTTAATTGTTAAAAAAAAATATGTACCTACCTATTATATTTTGAAAATAATAACAATTATAATAATAATAATTTAACTACTTAAACTAACATTATATTTTTAAAACATATAACTTCCAAAAATATTACCTAAGTTAATTTAACCTAAGTGTACACTTAAGAGTCAACTTAATTTTTTCTGAATTTGTAAAAAGTTAATCATTATACGGTTCACTGGTTGTTTTAATCCAGTAATTTTTTGACAGTTGTCATTTTTTTGGAATACCTACTGTTAGAAAATTTCAAGAAATGATCATTTATTCTTGAAATATCACTATAATATTATTGCCGTCTGCGTCTCTACACGTTTATATAGAAAACTTTTGGAACTACGTTTCTAGCATACAGATTATTTAAAAACTACAAGCTAACTTCAAAAAACTTAAAAGAACTATATATTGACTAAAAAGAAGTTAGTGGAAAAATAACTACAAGTATAAGGTTTTTTTTGAAAAGCCATATATCGGAAGTTTTAGATTATTGAAAACCTTAGAAATCACCTAAGAAGGGGAGCAAATTTTCAAAAATTGAATTATCTTTTTTTTTATTTCACCTATATTGAAGGTTAATTATTTGTATTATTTCACTTATACAACTAAATAAATCTGAAATTAATGAACTTAAAAAACAATAAATAAATAAAAGTTATTTTTACTATTCATTAATTTACAAAATTATAAACATATTATTATCATAATTTTCTACAAAATCAATAAATATTTCTTAAATTTATTATCATAAATCTTTTTTTCTCCTTGGAAAATCTATCAATAATATCTTGTATCCACTACTGCAACGCTATAAATTATATTTATGTTGATATAGAAACATTAGAAACATTTTGCTATTGATTAAAAATATTTTTCATATTATGATTACTATCTATGACTTCGTTTATATTAAAAACAAATAGATATTTCATCGGTTAATCAATTAATGTAGTTGGAGTCATGCAAATAACTCGTTATTGAAAGCCGCTGTGTGACGAACTGAATAACGCATTCTGATTTATTAACCTGTTATTCATTATATCCACGGACTACCAATTCATAAAAGATGATAAATTTTCGATAATACACCTATTGTCTCGGGAAGTATTAAATTTTTTTTGTTGAAATTATTTTTGAAATAAGCAGCTCAAACACGTTATACAACTGTTATTTTTGAAACACACTCACTTTTTGGGTTAAATGACCACCCAATTTTGAGTAAAGCATCATACATTTGTTTTCATTATATTCCCTACTAAAACTTCAAAATGGAATATCCCGTTAACGGATTGACGAAAATTCAAAATGCCTATTCCAAATAACATTTTAATTGAAATTTCATCTATTTAAGGAATTTTTAATATATTTTGCTGAGTGTAGTTAGGGATGATTTTGCCCCCAAAAATAAAGGTGGCAAAAATACCGAAAAATTAGATAAACATTAATACACTTATTGAAAAAGTTTTAAATAAAAAGATTGAATAAAAGATTGTCTTATTGATTATTGGACACACCGACCACTATTAGGTAATCGGTAGGTAATATTAGCTATCGCTAATATTTCAATATTTCTCAAGAAAATTACGTTTTTTTTTTTTATGTGCAAATAATACATTTTGTTTCAATATAAAGAAAATGTTATAGTACGAAAATAATACACGAGCACCTCCTGTAGAAGCGGAAAGACGAGACACTTACCCCCCTCTTGGAGTAAAAAATATTTATACATTTATGTGTTATTATATT